ATAATCTCAACTCAGCTTCGGGTATCTTCATTCATGGATCTGCGTATGGATTCAGGTATACGCAACCTTCTACCTATTTGCAGTTGCGATGTTCCGGAAAAATCCCGGGAACTACGACATAAATCTCCTAATGCGAGCTAACCTAAGGAAGCAAAGTTTGTGAAATGACCGACGGTTTGAGTTGGCATGACCGAAAAAGTCAGGGCTCAAGAGCTCGCCGCAATTGAAGCTTCTAACCCACGACGACGTAATTTTTGAAAATAACGAGGTATCGATTCAAGCGTGTCTGCCTATTGACACGCCATCAGGGGATAATTGTGGCTGATAAAATTTGACGCCTGAAGACTGAACACTTGTATATAATGTTTCATGTTTCGATACGACCTACCACTCTTCTCTGCGTGAAAACTCCTGGTCATTGAACTTAGTGTTAGCTTTCGGCTCGGAATAATTAATATGAAAGTTTGGGCTGGATAGTTGGATATGACTACACACAAACTTAAACATTGCTGACATTGTGGTTTTAAATGAGTTTGTGCTCAATGTGGGAGTATCGTTAGAGCTTGATGGTTCGTCTTTGTCTGTTGGGGCCAACCAGACTCAAGGAATAGTTGAGGCTGTGGCGTTTTGTACCCTTATTTTACTTCCATTATAACTAACAGTATTTCATCAATTGCATAATCGTTTTTTGTTTGAATACGAAAAACTACAAAAACGCGCACTTGTACAATTTCACAGAATACAAGCGTGGTCACGTGCTTCGACTCCCTCTTCTGATTTCGCTCGCGCTTGCAGCGGTCATTCGCGAGTCTCATGTACTAACTCTGGTACCAAAACATTTCGGACATCTTCGGAATCTATTATATGTGGGAACTGTTCAGAAGAAGACCTCTGGACCAACATAATTGGATTATTGTTCATTCGCTGACCTGGGCCAACGACGAACTATTTTAAGGAGAACAATTGTTAGTGAGTCTGTTCCGTCTGGTCTCTTTATTTTTGTATACCCAACCTAGCGTAATCATTTTTATTTCTTTGCCACACACTCCTGGTAAACTAACTTATTTGGTAGCCAGACCACTACAAATTTGGTGAGCCCGAGTATTTCTAGATATTTTTTTGAAAGCTTTTTCTTTCAAGTCGTGATTTTGTTTCTTTTGCCCGGTAATTATGGAGACACACTTTGATTCAGCGGATTTAGTCGAGAATGCAATTAGCATACGTTTGTCAGACTACAATCCACGCAACCCCAGGGTATGGTTTCACCAGGTGGAGGCCGTTTTTGTTACCCGACGCATCACTTCCCAGGTCACCCGGTTTTCCTATGTTGTCCAGCATCTTCCTTGTGATGTAGCAACAGAAGTTGAAGATCTGTTGGAAGGTATTCCTAAGGAAAATCCGTATGACGCCCTTCGAACGGCCGTCATAAGTAGGACAGGGAAACCATAAAACAAAATGCTACTGGATCTATTCACCATTGTCGAACTTGGGGACAGATCGCCATCACAACCGCTTCGCCACATGCGCAGTCTGCTCTGCGGCCATAAGCTAGCGGTGGAAATCATGGCCCAACTATGGCTTGACAAACTCCCACCCTCC